ATGAGAACGACGCGGTCCTCGTTTTGCTCTGCCTCCTGCCGCCGCCCTCTATCGTTTGTAAACACCTGCCCTTTTGTGCCTGCTGCTCTTCCTTTTCTTGTCCCCGCCATCCCCTTCCTCCTCCCGTCCCTCGTGATCCTCATGCTCTGCTTCTGTTGCTGCTGCTGCTCCTCCTCCTCCTCCTCCTCTTTCTTATGTGTCGACCCAGCCCAGTGCTCTTGCCGCCGCTCTCTCTCTCTCTCTCTGCCGCCCCTCGTTGGCCATCCTGTTTTGCTTCCCTCTCCTCTGTGCGGGCGGTCGCCTGTCTGCACTTTTTACCATCCAGCGAAGCCCTGCGGCGGAGGATCAGGAAGAGGGGGAGGGGGAGGGAGGGCGGGGGGGGCGGACGGTCCCCTGTCTGCACAATTTGGCAAGACGATTTGCACACTGGACTATGGATACATGGTGTGCGAAAAACTGGTCCTCCTACTCCTCCTCCTCCTCTTCCGCGAAGGTGCGCTGCTACTCGTCCTTTTCTTCTTTCCCTCCGTGTCATCATTATCCGCATCCTCCGTCTCCTTGTGCGCCTCCCGTGCCCCTCCTCCCCCTTTTCCTCCTCCTACTCCTCCTCTTCAGCCATCAATCGCAAGGCGTTTTGAGCCGCTGCAGTCGCTGTCGCTGGCTCGCACCGAGTTTCGTTAGGAAGCGGAGATTCGACCCCAATGATTCTCGCGCATAATTTTGCAGAGGCTCTTCCATTCCCTGTGCACTCGTGGACCCGAGCCGTCCTGGGATCTTGGCGGACCTCACTGGCCAATCTGATGCCATAGACGGTGTCGATTCGCAGGTGGTGATGTTAAGCGCCGATGCCGCTCGCTCGCCGCGCTATCAGGTCTGGAGCGGAAACATGCCGGGGGATCCCCTCAGCGGCAGCTTGTCTGCTGGTGTGTGCTCCAACCTCCCGCTCGGAACCTGGAAATTCATCTCAAGCAGCGCCACTGGGGGATCGGCATGTGGTGCGCTGACGATTTGGGGGCTGTTGTTTGGGGGTCCCTGGGACACGCGGTGCTCGTGAGGGTGTTGCGAGTCTTTCGTGGGATCGCGAATCCCCGCCTGGAGCCCATCAAAAATGCTTCTGCGAGCCTCTCCGGGGCCGCTTCTCTCCTAGCTAGGCTGCAAGGGCCTGTCGGCTGCTCCAAGAAGCGTGTGAGGAGTGGGCGGCCTTCAATGTTGTCTCTCACCTCGCATACCTGGACTTTGAGCTGTGGCCTAGGGTTCCCGAGGGGGCCCTGTGGGTACGGCCTCTGACGGAGTGGTGCCGTTGGACGGCCGCCATCGCTCGCCTGGCCGCCGATTCGAGCGCCTCCGCCGAATTCTTTTCGGGGCTCAGCACGCTGTCGCACAAGTGCCAGCTCTTGCCGCTCCCACGGCTAGAGGTTGCGGCCGAGCCTCATGCCCCCACCCGCCTCCTCTGGGCACTCGGCTCGTGGCGCCCACTCCCTGCACGCCTGGACTTGCAGGCTTTCGGCGCTCCTCCCACTCGCCCGATTTTCGCGATAGCTCTGGCGGCGCGGATGTGCGCGGCAGGTGCGGGCGCCTCTTTGCGGAGGCAAAGGAAAGCATGGCGGTACTTCGTTTCGTCACGCTTGATGGGGCCGACGTTCTGGAATGAGCCTGCGTTGGCGTGGTGGCTCCGCCTGGTGGCGCAGGCCTCTCCTTTCCTGGGCCTTCGGGAAGGGCCTGCAACTCGCCGCGGGCCGGAGTGCTTCAGATGCGATAACACGGCGGCACTTGGGACCAAGTCCCCGCACCCCCTCGTCAAGACGCAGCGGGCCCTTTAGCGCGGTATCACCCCTGGTGTTAAGTCGGGCATGTCCCTTTACAGGATGGATATGGTCAACTCATGGAAAACTGCTTTTGTGGCGCTGCCCTGCGCTATTTTCAAGGTGTAACAAAAACGGACTTGCTTTCTCAGGGCACTGGCTAGGCGAACGTACGATGCACGCGGGTGGTAAACATGCTACGCCGCGTGGCGCCACCATTTTCTGTTTCGCCGCACTTGGTGGCGGCAGCGCGCGTTATGTCGTTCTAGCAGAGGCGTGCGTACATGGCGATGTTTGTGTTTCCTCTCAACGTGCGCATGGAGGGTCGACCGCGCGCTGCCATCGTGGATTGGATCGCGCGGCGCTGTGATTTGATGTGCGCGCAGAGTGTGCAATTCGACGAGTTCTTTCTGGGCAGCCGGCAGTGGCCCTGCAGATTTGGCTTCCTGCTTTTCCATTTTGTTACGCACATCCGCAACAGCCGCCCGACCAGTCCTTGTGACCGCTGGCATTCGAATTCTCGCTGCAAAACTCCAGTCCTCGCCCCGCTTTGCCCCAACACTCCTGCGCCCCTTCCTTGGGCGTCCTCTCCACCCTACTCCCTTTCAGTAAGGGTGGCCCGCATGGACGGCGCTTCCGACATTCTGCCAGTGGGTCTCTGTCGGCAACTGCGCGGGGTATATTGCGCGAGGGAAAATCCAGACCGGACGAGGCAGAACCCCTTTGATGCTATCATCGGGGAGATTGGAGTGGAATCGGAGTTGAGACGGAGTGCGGTAGGAGTGGGCTGGGGGTTGTCTGTGAGTCAGGTTGGCTCCAACGGGGGGCAGGAATAGAGATAAGGGATAAGGTTAGAGCCGGTTCCGGGTAGGGCAGAATTGAGGTCGGCGTAGAGGTGGCATTTAGACAATCACTAATTCAAGAGACGAGGCGGGCTGCAGGTGCCTTTGTAGTGGGGTAGAGTAGATAAGGGTGCCATTAGGCGTGTGATGGTGCAAAGTATAGTTGAGGCTACATGTGCACAAGTGCATTAACACACAAGCGTGCAACAATTAATCTCTATCCGTTGGATCGGCCAGGCGGTCGTCCAGATTGCCCGGAGCCGAACAGGGCGCGTTCAACCAGGGCAATGCAATATGTCTACTTGTACGCGCGCGAGCGTCTATATGCAGATACTCATGTGCGCCGATCGCCGCGCCCAGTGCGCGCGTTGCAAAGCGGGGCCCAGCGCCTGCAGCGCGCCCCAGTCGTCGCCGGCACCGTCCGGACATCCAGAGCACAGACAGGCGTCGTCGCCGGCGCAGCAGTCGCACCTCGGATGCCCGGGGTGAGTTTCCGACGTGCCCCGCGCGTTAACAAACGTAATCTAGCGCAGGTTGTTGCGCGCTCGCCGACGACGCAAAATATTCCGCTGGAGGATTTCAAGCGCATTGCGGTCGCAACACACATCAACATTGCACCCCGCAGAGTTCAAACACGCTAACAATGTTTGAATATACTGCAAGAGTACCCCCGCAGATTTCACACGTTCAAACATGCCCCAGCCATATTCCAAATCTAGCCAGAAGCATCCCAGATCTTTTCCAGCGCCATTTGCGACATGTCAAAATAGCCCAGCAACCTTCCAGTGCCATCTGCTTCGGAATGTCCCAAACAGATTCCAGTGCCGTCTGCGAAATCTTGAAATTCTCAAAGGATCTTCCAGTGTCATTTGCGAACTTTCAAACATACCCCGAAGATGCGTCAGTGTAGTTTGCAAGTTTAAATATTGTCCCAAATATACTCCCATGCCATTTGGGAAGTTCCAAAACACTCCAGATCTACCCCCGCGGCGATCTCGGAGATTTCAAAATGCCCCCGGATATGCGCATCGGAAATTTGCGACACATCCAAACATCCCAGGGCTCAGTTCGTAATCATCGTCGACAATTCCAAGTCATCCAGGAGATGCCCCCGCGTGTTCCCAGGACGGCACAACCTTGTGGTGGGCTCCGTGGCCGTTCCTCGAGAGATCGCAAACCTCGCGGCAATGCCTTCCCCTGCCGGAAATCGCGCCGCTGCCGCATCGGATGTAGTGGGCTCGCCAGCGGATTAGATGCCCTACGACAGGGTTGCCAAACGCGCGACGCGCACTGCTGATGCGATGCCTCGTGGGCTGAACAGCGTGCCGCGCTGTTGCCGAGCGCGTTTCGTTCCGCGCCACGGAATCGTCGCGGCTATCTTCTGGCCCGATCCCGCGGGGGAGTGGCCCTCGACGCGCACGCATTAAACACGCGATGCGCGCCGCGCGCGTCGCGCAGCTTCCGGGCGGAAACTTGCGATGACTTCTGCGTTCATTTTTTGATCCAGCCTTCCCGCGCGCCCGCCCTCGCTGCTACTGACAGGCAGATGCGAACGGGGGCGGGGGGAGAGGACGGCGAGGGGGGGGCCGGTCGATCGGTCGATCGGAAGATTGTTCGATCGACCGATCGGTAAAAGGACGAGCTCGCGGCGTTCCGCCAGCCCCCGCGGATCCGCATTTTCATTTTGCGGCGCTTCTCGTTGGCCATCTGCGTGCTGTCTGCGGTTTCCTCTGGATCGCCTACGCGTTTGGATTCGTTGTTCTCTGGTGGCCCCCCTCGCGCGCCCTCAGGGCACGCGCTGCGTCTGTCGTTTGTCCTCGAGGTGAGCCCCGTGGCAAAGAACCGCGTGGAGTCGGCTGAGCGCCCGGCAGGGTCGGTTCGCTCTTTCGCGAACGCGAAGCCATTGAGTGTGCATCGTGTTTCTCTTGTGCTGGAGTAGATGCGGCCATCGACTGCGCGGCGCTGAAAAGAGCGCCCCCGTTGTCTGGCGCGCACGGCGCTGCGCGCGCTTCGCGCGCCGGAACGCGCGGTGGGGACATCGCGAAAACAAGCAAATCTTCTGTCTGGGAGCGCGGCTTTCCCCGAAGTACTTTTGGAGCATTGCCCACCTATTTGTGGCCGTTCTTTTAACTCTCAACGAATAAGTAGGTTTGGCATATTTTCCACATTTCTTTTGAACATCGCCTGTCGCAGGACGCGCCCGAGATGGCCCTGCTTTTGTGCCTCTCTGAAGGTCACCTCCGCGGCGCAATCAAAGCTCTGCTTGGCCGTTGGTATAGCCTGGGGGCGGCGAAGCGGCAGCGCATGGTTTTGGCGAATGTTCAAGAGATGACCCGCGCTTCCCCCCTCGTGGAGGATGGCCTCTGCCGGGCGGGTGGGCGCGCGACGCCCATCTTCGCAACCCTGATCCCCCATGCGACATGGGCTGCGATGCCCCGGGGATCTCGCATCACTACGCGAGGTGCCCTTCATTCCCTACCTGGGTGGCCTTGGCTGCCGGCGCGCCGTTGCTGTCTTCAAGTTTAGGCCCTCTGTCATTGCTCCCTGCCTCGGCTTCGGATTGTCGCTATCCTCATCACTTCCATCGCCTTTGCTAACGGGAAGGGTTCGGCGGGCGGGTGCTCTCGGACTCCGACGCGGTAGAGTTCGCCCTCTCTGCGAGTCTCGCAGCTGGCCCCCCGAACACTGCGGGGGCTCGCCGATGATTGTGGATGGAGCTTTCTTGGGGGCGCTCGGCCTCATCCTCCCCCTCGGCCCCCCTGTCCCCCCCCCCCCCCCCCCTTCCTTGTGATCGTCATCGTCGCCTTAGTCGTCGCCCCCCCCCCCCCCCCTCGCCATCGTCGTGAGATGGGGGGGGGATTGAGAGCAAAAGCAGGTGCAACAGTGAGAGGGGGCTTCGTTGGGAGTGGGATCTTGCAGGAGCGTGAGAGCGCCCAGTGAGCAGCGGCAGGGGAAGGAGGGACAAGAGAAGGAGGTTGGCATGATTGGAATGTTTAACCACGCGATGTATAAATCAAGGGTTCAAACTACCAGGACGCACGCCAGGGCGCTTGCACTTTTCAAAGACGGTTGGGCCGACCTCAGCCTGGCAGCGTTCTTGAGCGTAGCAGGCGCACAACCTCACAACGTGCGCGTGCTTTTTTCACACTCGTCATCGACTCTATCACGCAAGCACGCACTGCAGGGGGCCTCGTGTGAGAGTGAATTGCGAGAAAGTCTCCACCAGGATTCCCCCTCCTATTGGCCCCAATCTCATGTTACTAGTCCGAGGCGGTCATCGGGCTTGCTGGCGGCGCAGCCCTTGAGCACCCCAAGGGGGCAAACCGTGAGTGTGTGTGTGTGTGTGTGTGTGTGTGTGTGCGTGTGTCGAGCGGTCTTCTTGTTTGTGCGCGAAGTGCGAGGAGATCAGGGGCAGGAGCCCTGTTCCCACATGGCCTTACATTCCGAGGAGGAGTAGCGGTTCAGCTCTTCCGCCCTTGCTTCCCGCCGTGGGGAACGCGGTTGCAGGCGCGCGGGTTTCCTGGACTCCAGGATGGGTGGAGGTTGCCGATTTGATGCCGCTGCATGGTTGCGCACAATGTGACGACGCCGGCCTGGCCGAGGCGAGGGCGCGGAGCTTGCTCATGTTCAGGGCCGGCCGGCAAGATGTCACGTGGCAGAGTTCGGGGCCGCACGCCATGCGCCGTTTGGGTTTCGCCTTGGCGCGCGCGTCCCACCTCATCCCCACGCTGTCGCAGGGCCAGGAGCGGCGCAATTGCGCCCCCGCCGACTGCGACAGGGACGAGGACGCCAGCCGCACGGGCATGTCGGACGACAAGTGGTGGCTTAATATTTACGTTCTGTTTTCCCGCGCCATGTGTGTGCGGGACATGCTGATCCCGCGGTCGCTCACGCGCGAGTTTCTGGTGCACGGGCCGCCGGCGCCCCTGCGGGAGGCGTTTCGGAATTTGTGTTAGAAGGTCGGGCCGTCTAGTGGGCGGGCGCAGCAGTTCGCGGCAAAACTGGGATTCGCGTTGCCGCCCGCCCGAGCACGGCGGCGCCCAGCTCGAGTCCCACGGGGTGCGCGCCAGCGGCCAGTGGGGATGCCCCCGCGGCCTGGCCCGCAGGTTTGTCGCGGGACCTCCTGATTTGGCCATCGGCGAACGGTTTTGTGCCGGGCGAAGCAGCGAAGCCGCCAGGGAAAATGGGCGGGCATCCATGACACGTCGGAAAAAAGGGGAAGGGACAGAGGAAGAGGAGGAGGGGAAAGACAACAAAGGGCGGAAACGGCGGATAAAAAGGCGGGTGGACGAGAAGGCCGGGGATGAGAAGACGAGGGGAGGGCTTCCACACCCGCAAGTGCGGCGATGACGCATCGTCTAAAACGAACTAGTAAGAACCCCCTGCGGTGTGCCACCGTCGAAATCATGCAGAAGATGGGTACTGGAAGGGGGGCGGGAAAACAAAGGATCGAACATGTGCCGTGAGGTGGAGGAGGACCAGGAAAGGCAAGAGGAAAGGGAGCAGGATAAGGATGATGATTATGAGCATGCTGCCGTTGTTGATGATGATGATGATGCTGATGATGATGCTGATGATGATGGTGATAATGATAATGATGTTGATGCTCATGATGATGATGGTGCTGGTGAGGCTGAGAAGGAGGAGGAGGATGAGGAGGAGGAGGAGCAGATCACTGTAACCCAAGACGCGTCATCGATATTGCAAGGAGTCCTCCCTTTCAACTTCCTCCTCATAGGGGCCTACAAGAAATAAGTGTCATTGCGGGAAATGTTTCTTTGGAGTACACACCGCCTTACATCCGTAAAACTGCTGCAAATTTCAATCTTCAAAATCATGTGTGAATGGCCTGGGGCCTGATACGACACGCGTGGCCTGCCCTATCGACATGTTTGCGGGCCCGACAGGGAAAAATTGCTTACAAGGGAGAATTGAATACGGAATACGAACGCAGGAACGAGAGGCCACGATGAGAAGGAACGTGAGGAGGAGGAGCAGCAGGAGGAGGACCTGTACGAGGAGAATGAGGAGGAGGTAAGGTCAGGAGCAGCAGGAGGATGGGGAGGAGGAAAAGGAACAGGAGCAGGAGCAGGAGGAGGACCAGGAGCAGGAGGAAGGGGAAACATAAGAGCAAGAGGAGGAAGAGGAGGAGGAGGAGACGGAGGAGGACGAGGTGGACGAACAGGTAAATTAGGGAAGTCGCGAAGATGGCGATGATGCCGTGGGCGGGTGCTGCTGTCAGGGCAGCCATTTGTTGGGACGGATCTGTATTTTTGCGAGGAGGATGGCGACGACGAACGGGACGACGAGGGAAAGGAAGAGGAATACGAAAGGCGGGGAGCCGCTCAGACCTTGCAGGTCAATGCCCATGTCGGACTTTGCCTCCCTCGACGCGGGCGATACAGAGTCTATCCTCTCGGCTCAGCGCGAATCCGCCGACCCGACATCCCAGAAAGGGGGAGTTGGCGAACTCTGCCCACTCTCTCTGCTGTGCTGTTGTTGTTGCTGCTCTTCCTCCTCCTCCTCCTTCATCTCTTCTCCTTCTCCTTTTCCCTCCCCTCCTCCTCGTCCTCCTCGTCGTCGTCGTCGTCCTCATACCTTTTTTGGGGGAGGGGCGCCGACAGGTACACCATAAAGGGTCTCCTCCTCCACGCGTTCTGCATAACAGACAGATTGGGAAAGCCTCTTAAATGTCTTGGCAACACTAGGTTTGCTCGCTCTTACTTACTCGCCGAACGGAGGGGGTACATCGAGGTGCAATTGGAATACTACTACAGAGAATTTGGATACAGAGTGTTGCGTCACAGGAGTGAGTCCAACACGGCATTGCATGGGTCAACCAACGGCCAACACGTCCAGGACGAGAAGTGAGCCTAGAGAGGGAGGGATTTTGTCAGGAGCATGGGCACAGCAGGTCGTGGGTATAATAAAATTAGCCCCACCCCCCAGCAGAGCTTGGCACGACGGGGCCTCCTGCATCCTCTCCTCTCTTCCCTGCATCGAGTGAGGTCGCGTCGTCGTCCTCCCCCTTGCTTGAGAGTTCGCCCAGCGCGTCCCCATCGTCATGGGTACGCGGGAGGGTCAACAGCTGCTCCCCCCCTCACTGACCCGTAGGGCGTCGTACTCACAAGGTAACGATCCTCTCTTACGAGGCCACCTCGGAGCTCGCCCCTTGGGGCTTCGGGGTGTGCCCCCTGCCGGCCCCCATGAGAAGTCTGGGTCTGCGGCATATTGTTTTCGCAGGGGATTTTGTTAGTCGTATTCGCAGCTCCTTTGTAGGCGTCGACGTTTACCCCCTTATGCGGATTTTCTGTCCTGTCCTGTCCTCCTCCTCCCTTTCGACACTTACTGCTCCGACCGGTTTCCAGGGCTGCATCGTGCATGCCGCTTCTGTTAATTAGATGCGAGATTGATGACATCTCGCTCCGCTCTTTGACCTGAGGTCCGTGGCCGTGGACCAGTTGCCGACGGCAGTCGAGAGCCTCTTCCAGTCCATTAGGGGGCTCGAGCTCCCCGTGCGTTTGGACGAGTGCCAGTTTCTTGCCAGCTCCGCAGACCTAGGTAATTCACTGATGGGGAGTTTGACCTTGCCCCACATCAGCAAGGGGGGGCGCGGCCAGGAACCTTGGGGCCGTCGCCAGCCTGGGGCACGTAAGACGGATGAGCAGTAACGAGGGATCGCTGGGTGAAATATCATAGGTCAGCGTGGCGGATTTCTCGCCTTCGAGATGCGGGAGCTGAAGTTAAGTGGTGTCAGCGGTGTGGCCCGGCGGCCTTCTTGCTTGGGGACGTCTGTGTCCCTGGGGTTCCCCCTGCGGAGCTCCACCGCATCAGAGCCTCGGCGTGCAGGAGCTCAGGGAATCCCCCGCATGGGGGCTCTAGTTGGCCCTCGAACGCATTCGTTCTCGGACGGGTTCAGGGTGGGCCCCTGCGGGTCTTCGCGGGGCCTAGTGATACGCCAGTGGGCGACGGCTGTCTGGGGCCCGGACCCCGATCCCCACATCCTCGGCAAGACTTCGGAGGCGTCTCGACACGATAGCGGTGCTAGGCCTCGTCGAGGCCTTTGGTGGGGGCGGCCCCCCAAGCCGACGCGTCTTCCATTTTGCTCAGGGGGATTGGCCGGGCTCCGCCGTCGCCCCGGGAGCTCCGCGCCGACGACGTTGCCGCGATCAACGTCGCCCGCATGGGGCCCGCCTTGGCCAGGCAGTTTGCAGAGGCAGGAGTTAGCCGCGCGTCGAACAGGAGAGCGCCGCGCTCGAATCAGCTTCGCCGCCTTGGGTGGTCCCTGTTTTCTTGGGCTGCGAGAGGGAGTTTGTTTCCCAGGATAACTGTTGTCTGGCCCGAAAGGCGCCGGCGTGCCCTTCGGTCTGTTTATTTTGCTTCCTGGTGGCCTCGGGCCCATCTGTTCAAATGGAACCTAGCGGCCAGCCCGGCGCGCGCTTTGCGTGGCAACCCCGACGGTTCCACGCGGCGTCGTTGCCATGAGTGCGATGCCCTCGCTGGCCGCAGGTCTCGCCAGCAGGCCTGCTCAACCGCGCGCGCCGCGCCAAGGGGCAAAGGGCTTGAGGCAGGGGGGATCATTGCCCGGGGCCTCTTCCCGAACCCAGCTCCCCCGTCCGATTCCGCCCCCCCCCCCCCCCCCTCGGCAGACTGCCCATTGGTATCCGTGTCCCGCAAGTTGTCTTTGAGCGGGCCTGCCATTGCCAGGCGCGTCGCGTTGCTGGTCAACTGTCCGAAAGTGTGCGAGGGCAGGCTGGTCCGTTGTGACGCACGACCCCCGCGTCCAAGTGGCTGCAGCAGCCTCTGGGCCAGGTCCAGTCGAGCTTTCCCCGCGCGGCGCGGTTTGGGGCGGTGGGAATTCCCATGCGCATGTTGATTTTACACATGTTGATTCAGGCAGCGACGCCGCTGTCCCAGGTCTACTGCCGCTATATGGAGAAGGCCCAAGGGCGCGGTCGGGCCTGGACAGCAGCGGGGCCCGCTGTGGCTGCCGGGCCCCGTGTCAGCCGCTCCTCCTCCTCCTGCGCCTCTCTCTGCGCTCTCTTGCGCGCCGCCTCTCGGTTCGCGAGGGCCCCTGAGCTGGCGCGGCGCGCCGGTGACGGACGCGCCCGCGCCTCCGTGAAAGGGGAGGAAGCGTGCTCTCCTCTAGCACGGCCCCCTGATTTGCACCTCGTGTCCTTCTGCGCCCGCGCAGTCGCGCCCGGTCCACAGCGGCAGCGGAGCCTGCGGTTGAGGTCCGCGAGGGGAGTCAGGACGGCCCCCCTGTCATTCGGTTCTCGGGTGACATAATCTTCATTATTCTCCCTTTGTTCCCGCTCTCGACCCCGCTGTGCCGGGCGCCGCCGTGGATTCCCCGGTCGACGCTCAGCTTCAAGGGCGAATTCCCAGCAGACCCCTGGTTGCACGGGCAGGGGCTGGAGGGCGAGGAGACGTTCCTCGGGAAGGCGATGACAACGTGGGCTGGTCAGATCAGGATTGGGCCCGCTGGTTTTCGCAGCCCTGGGCGGAGACGCAGCCTAGTGCGCGACCGCCCCCCTCGGGTTGGACCGGGCCTGGAACGCGGCTCGCCGGCTGCGCCAGATTGGCAGGGCGCGCCGCTGCGAGGACAGGCGTTTTTTTTTTTTTTTTTTTTTTTTTTTTTTTTTTTTTTTTTTTTTTTTTTTTTTTTTTTTTTTTTTTTTTTTTTTGTGTTATATATATATATATATATATATATATCTATATATATATATATATAAAATCCTTTTGCTCCGACCAATCGGCGAGACGCCGCTGCCAGATCTTTTCGTCGCCGACGGGGGCAATTTTCCGAACAATCGGAGACCCCAAGGGCCCCGAAGATACCGGGCGTCTTTCGCCTCCCGCTCGGGGTGGAAAAGGCCCGGATATTCGCCCAGACCCCGACGTGAAGGGGCTGCAGATTCGGCTCGCTACTGCCGGAACATTCAAGGCGCCGCGCGGGTGCCTCATCTGCCGCCATGCCAAGGGCGACTTCAATATCATCATTGGCGAACTTACCCAGGGCCAGCTGTCCGCCGAGGACGGCGGGCAGGTCGTAATGAAACGCATCCATAAGGCTTCTGCCAAGTGCCGAGACTGCAGGGCGCCGAAGGTTTTTGGGTTTCTCATGAGCTTTTCTACGTAGGGGACACCGAGCGCAAACGAGGGGAATGCTGGGTCAACCATATCGCGCATAAGCTCGTGCTCTTCCGAGAACTCGAGAAGCGCCTGGCCCTCGTAGCTGGGGGCTTGCCCGACGATGTGGTTCTGGAAGAAGACGAGGCCATCGCCATGTTTGCGCCTTACAGTCAGGCACGACAGTACTGGACAGCACTTGCGCACACGGAAGCATGGGCGAGGCGATTTCAGACAGCAATCCCTAGAGGGAAAGTCCTGGGACAGGGAAGTCAGCGGATGTAGCGTGGCAAGCATGTGTGCGTACATGGACACGAGTGATTGGCATGCCAGAGTCTCCAGAGGTCCTCGCAGTTGATCCAGGAACAGAGTGCCAGGGGGCGTTCGTCGATGACATGCAAAACAACGGTGTGAGTGTGTGCCTTTCCTTATTTTCCCCACTGATGACCGTTCACTATGGCAGAACGGTCGAACGGAACGTGCTGGGAAATAGCGGGGGCGGCGGCTCCGCGTGGCCGTTCGCCGGTAGGTCCGGATACTCCAGCCGAGTGGTAGGCTATTGGGGAGATGTGTTGGTCTGTTCGGGACCGTTACCAGATTCGGAGTGCTTTCTCACCTGCGCAACGGCTTTGCGGTACCACGCAATGTCTGCCAGCGGCGCTGCTCTGCGATGACCCCATAGATCCCGAATATCTCACCGCCGGTCCGAGCGGAAGAGCGACGCCGAGCCGCTGTGAAAGCATGGGCTGCGATGGACAGCCGGGCGCGACTTTTCCGAGTCCTCCGTGCCGGACACCGCATGCCACCGATTTTCGCGGACGGCCATGTCTTGTTTGTTTGGGGATAGGGACGACTTGCTTCAGGAAAGTGGTTTGGGCCTGGTGTGATATGTTTTACCTGCTGGTGGTGGGGCTTGGATTAACATGCTGCGGCGCGTGTCCAGCGAACAAGTGCGCAGTGCCACCCAAGAAGAGAGTTGGGGCATCGAGATCTTCAGTCGCTGCCCCCATGACCTTGATATTGATCTCGAGCGCACTCGTGGAGCTCGTCGCTGCATTGACGTCGCCGGAGAAGGAAACCCGAGATTCCTTGGAGACGAGCCTCCACTCGACCCTGAAGCGGCGGAGGCCGATGAAATTCCCGACGGCTCCGACGTCGATGCCGATCAGGGCCGCCACAGCCAGAAAATTAGCCCGACGAAGGACCCGACCATATGCAGGTGTGAATGCCGCAATTGTGCTTCACTTTTTCGGTGGTGATCCTTATGAGGCCACGGGCCGTGCT